AAAAAAAAAAAAAAAAAAAAACTTTCATCACGCCATATCCGGAATCCCGTCCAGGTTCGCATAGCGTGATCGCACATCACCCAATGACAATGAATCAGGTCGCAAATTCGGACCACAAACATGCACAAAGACATGTACGCACAGATTCACACTCACGCGAAGGGATGTGGAGAGGGAAGCCCAATGCACGTCATTTCACCACACGGCAGTTTTAAAAATAGCGAATGCATCTTGCCACATTCTCGCGCAAGATACACCCGCCATCTCACGTGTGATTAAAAAGCAGTGGAAAACGAGCTTCCCTCTTGGCAAGAAATCTGAAGAAGAATGGCAATGAATCTCGCCACATTCTCGTGCAAGATACAGTCACTCGCCATCTCACGTGTGATTAAAAAGCAGTGGGAAACGAGCTTCCTCGTCGCAAGAAATCTGAAGAAGAATGGCAATGCATCTACCCACATTCTGGTGCAAGATACAGTCACCATCTCACGTGTGATTAAAACGCAGTGGGAAACGAGTTCGCTCTTCGCAAGAAATTTGAGACGAATGGCGATGAAGCAAAAGGAAGAAGGGAAAGAAAAAAAGAAGAACAAAAAAGAGGTGGAAAGAACACAAAATTATGACAAATATTAAAAAAAAAAAAAAAAAAGAAATACTGGAAGAAGAAGAACAAAGTAATCTTACAGAAGAGAGGAGAGAGAGAGAAGTAAAAAAAAAAAAGAGAGGAGAAGAAGCAGGCCTGTTTCTGACGTTCTTCTCTCCCCAAAAAAAAGGAAAAAAAGAGAAAATATGGAAACATCCATAAAAACAAATAATTAAATAATAATTAAATAAATAAATATAAAAGAAAGAAAGAAACAACCGTTCACGCCAGCTGCAAGGTTCGCCGCTTAGGAAATATATACAAATCGGAAAAAAAAACACAAAAAAAAAACAGTTCACCTTAGCTGCAAGAAGCTCCTCATTTGCCGCCACTATCGCTGACCGTCTCCAAGCACAGCTGGCATGTGCGGCACTGTGCGCCACTGCTCGGCGACACCGTGCGGCACTGTGCGGCACTGCTGTGCGAGTGCTGATGCCTCTTGCGCGCCGGGACGCCGAAGCGCGAGAGCACTGTGACCTCTCCAGCGCGACGATGTGCGACAATGTGCGACAGAAGATACACTCACACTTTGCCGCAAGCGCGAGTGCGACAATGTGCGACAGAAGATACACTTCGCCGCAAGCGCGAGAGCACTGTGCCCTCTCCCGTGCCGTGGCGGCAATGTGCGACAATCGGAAGATACACTCACATTTTTAGCGACGAGTTGAGCCTCCACTCCCCTCTGCCCCGTTTCCCCCGTTCCCCCCGTTCCGCCGCTACCTTCCCCTCGCCCTCCTCCCACAAGGCTTCCGCTCGCTCTGCGGGGAGGACAGGTTAGCAGAGGGAGAGAGATGGGCGTCGGTCAGCACATACTGACGCTCGGGCTCTACCTACCAAGGTAGTTGTGACAGCACTTGCCGCCAGATACATCCGAATCGGGGCGTAATTGCGCATAGCCCGCGGATGCTCCCAATCTGACCCTCTCAAAAAAAGATCAATAAATAAATAAATATAAATAAAAATCTGGCCCGTTCGCTCGTCCTGCTCTAAAGGTAGCAACCAGTGATCCGGGGCCCAAGTCCCCCTTACGCTGATTTTCCATTTCTGACCGTTGATCTTTTGGTTATCTAAGGTCAGAAATTTTAAGTTGTGTTTTTTTTTTTTTTCTTAAGTTCTGGTTTCAAGTATTAGACATGGCTCACTACACCACTCGATCTGGAAATCTTGTGGCCGCACTGTGACCACGTAGAAAAAAACACGAAAAAAAAAAAAAAAAACACGAGACACGACCTAAGCCCCCGCTACCGTGGGACATGGCCCCGGGGGCGAAGTCCCACTTACGCTGATCGTTCATTCCTGGCCGTTGATCTTCCTAATCTATGGTCGGAAATTGAGAATTCGGATAGGTGGGACCTGGCCCCGGGAAGCCTGGCTGTGACCCTTGCCGTCTCCTGGCCGACACAACGCACGCCGATCATGAATGTATGGTTCTAATCTTTCCGGTCAGATACTTACGCCGATTCTTCATTTTTTGCGGCCGTTGAGCTTTTTGTATTGTAATCTACGGTGAGAAACTGAGAAGATGGGTAAGTGGGACTTGTTCGCGGGAAGCTTGGCCGTGGCCCGGCTGAACACAACGCACCCTGATCCTGAATGTATGATGCCGATGGTTCCGGTCAAATACAGGCATGCTAAGCGCACCCTGCGCTCAGAGGGAAGATGGCCGCAGTGGGCATATTCATTGATTGAGTTAGCTATTCTGGGGAAAAGATAGTTATTTATAGCTACCTATTCTGTGGGTAAACGAAAGAAACCACCGTGAATGTACAGGACTGATGTTTCTGGTTACATACAGAGGCGTGATGAGCGTACGTTGCCGTCAGTCGAAGATGGCCGTGGTTGGCTTTTTTATTTATTTTTTTGCAGTTGGTTGGCATATTCGTTATTATGGTTACGGACCTATCCTGCGGGCCTATATAGCTCACTTGTTAACGCACAGAAGTTGCATGCAGGAGGTCGTGGGCTCAATCCCCCCCTTTGGCGTCACGTACGTGACCTATCCTGCGGGCCTATAGCTCAGCTGGTGAGGCACAAAAATTGCATTCAGGATGGCCTCACGTACGTGCCTGGGCAAGCGTGGTGTTGTACCAGCTAGAGATAACCCGTTGGGCCCCCAAGCCAGCATTGGCAGGACCTTGGCTGATGTTGCTGGTTTCTATGCAGCGACAATATTGGCCATTAGACACCGGCATGTGGTGTTAAGGGGGGTTGGGGGGGGGTAGGGGGAGGTGCAGTGACTGGCCATTGCTTGGCGGTAGCACTGCCAATTCCCCCCATTGGCAATGCCTTCCCACCCCTCGTCACCGTGATGAGGGACTGATACAGCCTTGCTCTCGCACCACAGCTGTGGTGGCAACCTACCCCCGTGGGCTAGGGAGATATCCGGGTTGGTTGGTGTTCCTCCGTACTATACCTAGACTAGTGAGAGGATGAGATGGATGAGTACTGCTGGGAAGAAGATGAGGAGAGAGACGAAGGGGACTCAAGGGAATTCAAAGAGAGGAAGAGGTGGATAGCCGCGACCACAGAATATACGAACAAGGAAGGTATAAACCAAATTTTCCAGAATGGCACAGGGGAGAGAGAGGGGGCGGGAAGACGTGATGGGGGGCGGTTGCGCTAATTTTTAGCGCTAATCACCCATGCGCTAATACGGTGCCTCGGCACAGCATTGACGCTAAGCATGATTAGGGCTAGGGTTAACGAAACCGCCCATCCCTGCTTTCCCTCCCTATCCCTTATTGCTTTTTTATCGAAAAGAGAGGGGATTCATAGCAATCGCCTCCCACTTAGACATGGCAGGCGGTTAGCTATCTCCGCTTCTCGCCTCTCGCCCAACACCTGCTTGTTCGCCAAGATGAGTCTCGTGCAAGTGATATGACTTGATGGACCCCGTTCCTCCACACTTCGAAGACACGGTTGGCCAAGTATAATTTTTTCGTGCCTTCCTTCTGGGGAGAGGAATGGTTTGTCCGATTATTTACTGAGGCTTCCTATACATTTTGTGGTATTGAAATGATGTTATGCATGGATAGATTTTTGTTATTCTAAGTGTTGTTTTTTTAGGAATTCTATTTTCGGCTTGTGCTTGACCGCTGAGGCATGATGGGGGAAAATCCACCCCCATCCAATCCAATGCTTGCCACTGAGAAAGAACGAATCGCAAAGTTAATTAATATTTGCTACAATGAAGGAATCATTCCGAAAGAACTGCACCCTCAAATTGTGGAATCCGGGGAGGATTTTGACCAAGTAGTAGTCAACCCGGAAGTCTATCGAATTCAATAAAAATGGTTAGTGGAACACGCAGTTACCATTGCTTTTGGTGGGGATGTCACTTCTCTGCCCGCATCAGTTAAAGAACGGATTGTGCGCATTCATGAGAATGGTTGGGTAAAGAGCGGTGAGGTGAATGGCCCCCTGAAGCGCGGGCTCTTTCGAAACGAAGGGTACAATCTGGTCACTTACGTGGCTACAGCCAAGGAAATCGCCACCTGGCTTCTCAGAAAAAAAGAAGATACAGTGAACCTGGATGACAAATCTTACTCTCTCTCGATAAGGCCATGGATGTCTGAGGCCGAATTATATGACTGAAGGGAATCTATGCGCTTCAAATTAATTTGGATTCGTTGTCTACAAGTACCCATTGGGGTATTACCACATGTGGAACGTGCTGTTGAAGCCATATACGAGAAAACCCTCAAGTCCTACCCTTCCTTTAAAGACAAAAAAACTCCCTCTCTCCTCATCATTCGATTTGACGTGGAATATTCGGCACGTTCTCGTTATAAAAGATTCTTGGTAGTAGATATGGTGGAAGGTGGTTTTGTGAAACTCGAGGTGATTTGTGCGTCCACTCCATGATGTGAACGATGTCGCCGCTATTTCCACACATAAAATGACGAGGATTGCCCCTACATAAAGAAGAAAGCTACAACGAAAGACCAGGGAAGAAGGACCCCCCCCCCAAACGTGGAACCCCAAGGGAAAAAAAGAACAGGGAAAGAAAATCTGGCATGGCGAGTGAAACAAGAGGGAACACAGCCAGACTAACAGGACCAGAGAAACAAAGAGTCAGAGGCTTCACCCACGAAAGGGAACCCACCCGCTTCTCATCACACTGACTCGCAAGACAACCAGTCCGCCTTGAGAAGGGTTAGTGGTGTTCTTTAGAGGGAAGCGGGGCCACAGCAGGGTCTGGGGAAGGGCAGACCACCTTCGTATAAAGAAGCGTTCAAATCTCCTCCTCCGGAGAGGCAACAAAATACTATGTCCGCTCCTCCTACCACAAAAGATCCAGCCAAAAAAAAAATGGATAAAGATCAAACGACAATGACCATCAGAGCGGCGATGAGAGAATTGCTCAACCTTCGGTTGATCCGACAGACACTGACGCAGAAGCAAGGACAGAGAAAGACTTACAAATGGGGGAAGCGGACACGGACATGGTAGGGAGGAAGATGGGGGAAAATGAGGAGGAGGAGGAGGAGGAGGAGGAGGAGAAGGAGGAGGAAGAGGAGGAGCTTAATGAAGATGAAGTGCTCGTAAGAAAGATCCCCCCCACCTTGCCTGCTCCCTCTCCTGAAACAGGAAAGGCAGCTGATACTTTGAGTCACCTGGAAGCACCCGACGCACAATGGCATTTGGCCAATTTGTTCAATGATCAAGCTCAACCTACATGCACAAAAGGTACTAATCACCCTGTAGATCGAAGCCAGGACGACGAAAACGAAGAGCTTGAGCAAGAGTTTTTTTCTCCCATGGGTGATCGAGAACCTAATCCTACTGCTTCTGCAGTAGATCTAAAGAGAAAAAACTCGGTTCGGAAAAAGAAAAAGGGTACGATATCTAGCAGGGGTCAGGAGGCTCGCCCCAAGAAAATCTCCACATACAGACAAATACAGATCATCTGGAGGTCTCAACTTCCCCTACAAAACGCTCTTGCATTGACCTTAATAAAATAGCTTCTCAGTTCCTTGGAGAGTAAAGCCCCAGAGAAGAAATTGTGATAAGTTCTGCTAAGAAAAGAGAACGTCCCACCAGTCTGAAAGCGGTTAGACAGTCTCTTTCCTTAGCAGCTCCAACAAAATCTTTGTCTAGAGCTGATAAAGCGCTAGGACACCTTCCCCTCTATCTGGTACCTTTGGTCCGCATGCCCATTTCATCAGGAGCACAAATTCTGACACTCTCCTCGGAGAGAGGGACCCTGAAATTTCCTACGATTCCCATCTACTCCCCCCCTTCAGGGGAAGACGTGGTCGGAATGTTCAACAAGCACTTTCTTCCGGACACAGTCGACATAGGAATACTTCCTGAACCAAAAATGGCTAGGCATTTTGTTGACATGCTAGGGGTGGGCAAAACAACTTTGTTCTTTGCCTTCCTGGTCCTTGATATAAAGCAAGATAAAGATATCACATCAGTCTCCATCCAATTCCACTGGGTAGACGTAACGCACTTCACTACTCCCTACGCGAAATTGTCGAAAAGCATAAATTTGGCCAGGACTCTGACAACCCAGGTGGTAGCAGAGTGTTTAATCCACTTTGACAATCTACGGCTGATACAGGCTAAGTTCTTCAGAGAGCAACTTCTTAAAACCTAGGCAGAAGTGGCCTAGAGATCCCTCCAAGCACCTCCGGTCCAACCCGATCTTCTAGAATTTGGGTTGGCCCCAAACACAGGCTGGATCCAATACTTTAGCGGCAAGGGCCTGACCAATGGTCCTTCCCGACAAAATTAGAATATTAAATTAGAATGTGCGTGGCTTAGGTGACTCTAATAATACGTTCAAGAAAAACCGTTTGTCTTTCTAGATTCACAAACACGATGCCCATCTAATTTGTCTACAAGAGACTAAACTCAATGTGGAAAAATTTGTTGAAGCCCAAAGGTGGTGGTTGGGACCGCAAGTATGGTCTCCAGCAGATGGATCTAAGGGGAGGATCGCAGTGCTCATCAACAAAG